TGCTTGGGCTCCTGCACCCATGGGGGAGACCCAGAAGAAACTCCTGGCTCCTGGCTTTGGATCGGCCCAGATCCGGCTACTGTGTCCATTTCAGAAGTGAACCAGCAGATGGAAGACTTTCTCTCTCTCTGCCTCTGCCTCTCTGTAACTCTGCCTTTCAAATAATAAATAAATTAAAAAAAAACAGCAATAAGGACTAATACATATTTTAAAAAAGAATAAATTATACATAGTCAATGCCTTCTGTGAAAGATAATACTATCTGATCTAAAAATTGTTCTATAGTAATAAAAATATTTATTTTGGTAATATTTCAGTAATAATTGTAACAATTATATTGGTAACTGTAACGATACTCATAATAATTGCATCACTTTTTAAAATTTGTTTTCGTTTGTTTGAGAGACTTAGAGTGAGAGAGCAAGAAAGAGTGCTAAGAGATCCCTTCTATCTGCTGGTTCACTCCTTGAATGCCTAAAATAGCTTCTGGTGGGCCATGAGGAAGCCAGAAGCTGGGAACTCAATCCAGGTGTTCCACGTGCATTATAGGGACCCAAGTACTTGTGTCATAACCTGCTTTATCCTAGGATGTGCATTAACAGGAGGCTGAAATAAGAAGTGGAGCCAGAATTCAAACTTAGGCACTGTGATATTGGATGCAGTCATCCCAAGCAGCATCTTAACTGCTCAGCCAAATGCCCACCCCTCAAACACTTATTAAGCCCTGGTGTGCAAGGAACTGTGCAAACAGTTCCACATATCTAGTCTTAAAATGTAATCATCAACCATATAATGTGTAGGTAGCATTATGTCTATTTTACAGATGTAGAAACTGAGCTTTAGAGGTAAGCAACTTATCCAACACCACAGGTACTTACTGATGAATGCAGGAAACAAAGAGTTGAAGCCTGAGATTATAGGACACAGGGACAAGTTCACAAACATTTATAAGATACACATCTGACATGCATTTTCATTTCTTAAACATTTGTTTAGAGACCTATATAGTGAAGAGAAGCAGCCAGTTCTATTGAAATCTCATGTTACTTCATTTGTTAGGAAACTGAAGGCTTACTGGAAAATGATGTTTTAGGAGTTGCGTGAAATGTGGAATTGACTTTTGCCACCAGCAGAAAACGTTTGGACAATTTAAAAAGGGGACTAGTGCTTCTTTGGAGGACTGCCCTTTGACATTTTCCCACCTGCCTCTCTGCTTCTGAATATTTTTGGCATTTCTCTGCTCTTAGAGTCAGTGAGTCAACAGCATGTTTTTAGTATTCCGTGTATGCACAGAAGTGGACTCTGACTCAGAGTATATCATTCCCATGGCCAAATAGATGTGAGCTTTACTGCCAGCCCAGAGAACCAGAGTGGAGTTAGGATGGAAAAACAGTGTATAATGTGAAATAACATTATACACATGCATGTACACTTACCTACACATGCATGTTTCAGTTTAAGTCTCAAAATAACTCTAGTATTGTCTTTTAATTGGACAGTTTTTCTTGCTCCCTTTTGCACATTCTGACAGATTCCTAAGTGATATTCAGATAGAAATTCGTCTTTGAATGCCTCATAAGTAAGAAAAGGCATCACAGAATGATGTAGTTGGAAAGGATCCCAGGATCTAAAGTGTTTCATGGGATGTTAATGTCCTTGGTCTGTTTATGGGTGTTTTGGAAAAGGACCTCATGGTCAAGTAAAATTTGGAAATGCTGGGCTAAAGTTAACTAGGTTTCTTTGCTGCAGAACTTCACAGAATCTTCAGTATGCTAATGTGCTTTGTGACTCTGCAGGAGAGGAATGTGGAATGAAATGTTTCAATACCTACTTTACCCGAGATTCTGATTTGGGGAATGCTGATCCAGCTGAGCCAGCTACAGTGCTCTCTATGTGAAGGTGGCTGCTGATGCCTTTTTGAGACCATGGGGGTCTCAGGGGGAAGGAAGGCCATATCGTTGTTCTGTTTCATGCCAAGAATTCTCTGTGCACTGCTTTTCTCTGGAGGCTCACAGAAGGCAGAACTGGATCTCTATGTCCAAAGGGTCACCCTTCAATGTGACCCAGTGCTGCAGAGACACTCTTGAGCTCAGTGCAAAGGAGTGACCTGCTCCTTAGAATCATGAAAGTGTCATCTGAGGACATGAGGAGGTGTCACCCGCTGTGACACAAATCTGGTCTGACTCTCTTTCTCCAAGCAAACTGGTCATGTCAGTTAGCTTGAGAAGCCCCAGGTTAAAGTAAGTTAAACTGATGTCTCTGGTCAGATCCTCCTGCAGCTTTAATAAGAAAATGTGTTTTGTGAGTCTCCAAGAACGGAGTAGACTGTGCAGGGTTGAAAACGTTTCTTAGCCATGAAGCTCTTCCTTTGTGCAGCGTTTGATAGGCACAAGTGTTCTGAGGAAAGCACTGTGGGAAACACTGGCCTAGTCCAGCCTTCTCCTTTCACCAGTGAGCAACTAGGGGCAAAGCACTGCTTATTTGAGGAGTTCTCTCAGTTCCTGTCACAGCATTGAAGCAAATGCATTGGAATTAACTTGATCAAATTTGAAGGAAGCTTTGAAGAGATTTCTTTAGCTGGCAGACCCTTTTTAATCCATTCCAAGGGCAATCTGCTCCACATATTTTGAGTTTCCATAGTTAAATGACCCCACAAATTAATTATCTAACTCTTTATAGAGTATCTGCTATGTCCAAAGACCATTTAGGTACTATGGTAGTCAAGAAAGTTATAAACTATATTACTATCCAGGAGATTAATATTCATGATAAATACAATGTCGATGGCAATAACACAAACAGCTCATATTTACTGAATGCCTTTCTATTTGTCAGGTGCTGCACTAAGTACTCAGATCTTTCCAACACTTTATGAGGTAGGGATTATATTAATTTCTGTTTCTCAGTAAGGATACTGGGGTTAAGAAAGGTTATGGAATTATTCCAAGGTCACACATAGCTGGAGGGAAGACATGCATGAACATGCATAGCAGGGCGTATCAGCTAATGAAACATTCCTTAAGAGTGATACAAAATGTTGTTTGAAAACAAAAAAGTTTGCTGAAGATGTCTGCTTGCTCATCACTTCTCCTTTTCGAGCTATCCCCCTTGACCTTGGAGGAGCTGTCTTCCTTTATGTTGAGGTCTGCCTATGGGGTTAGGCATGTCACCTCCAGTTGGACCAATCAGAGTATTTGGGAATGTTGGAATTAGCATTAGGAGGATAGAATTTCCTCTTCAGTGATGAAACTAAAACCTAGTCTGAACTGTTGATGTCATGTCCCCAGGTCTGTGGGAGAAGAGTAATGGTGATGTCAAGGCAAGTGTTAGAAGTGGAGAGACGGCATCTCTGAGGGCTCCTGGTCACCTCTGAGGCTTGGGGCTTCATGTACCTTCCCCTTTTTGTGGCAAAGGTGTACCACACCCACTCCTCCTGGGGATGATACTGAACTTTACAAAATGACATGTCATTAGAAAGTGATTTGAAAAACTCTGCAGCGTGTGCGCAGATCCTGACTAGTGTTGAGTTTGTGTTTGTTGCTAAGCTGACTTTCACTTGATCTTAGCCAAAGGCCAAGAAGCGATAAGCTGACTCTCTTACTAATGATATTAAGATTAACAATAGGAACTTTACAGGGGACTGGGCTCTGGGAGATCCTGAGTAGAGGAAAACAAACCACTAACAACAGCAAACAACCCCCTCAAACCATTCTTTCAGAAAGTGATTTGACATGTATGTATTTATAGGGTTCGGTGTGCTAATCAGCATATTCACCACATCATTTTTTTTTTTTTTTTTTGGTGAGAACATTTGAAATGTACTCTAAGCAGTTTAAGTGTACGTATTACATTGTGATTAACTGTAGTCATCATTCTGTTCAATAGATGTCAAACGTTTGTTTCTTCTATCTAAGTGTAATTTTGAACCTGTGGAATAACATTTCTCCATTTCTCCCATCTGACCCTCCAGTCTTAATCTTTAGTGTTTCAGAGAATGGCTAAAAAGTCCTATGGGGTTCCAGTTGATGGCTTCAGTGGGTTCCCTGTCAGTCTCAGTGACACTAATATAAAGGAAGGGACAATCCAGGAATTCTGCTGACTGCAAGCGCTGTCTTGGCTACTTCCTTGGCTCAGAAAGGCAGGCCTCTTTTTTTCATCTGCAGAATGGGGACGGTATGCATTTCATTCTTGGTTTCTTTCAGCTTCTGAAATAACAGAAAGATAGATGAAAAGCTTTTTATGTATTACAGAGCCATATACAAGTGTGAGTAACTATTCAGTCTTTCAGGACAGTTCTCAGGACAGTAGCCTTAATGACTGATAAATTGCTTTAGGTGTAATAGGATATAGAAGCAAAAACAACAATTGTTTCTTCTCTTTTTTGGTTTTATCCTTTTAATCTCTTCTCCCTTCGCTCCTATTTTCTATGGAGTATGTCTTGGTTTTGAATTTTAGGCCAGTTTTATGGAGAGAAGACAGAAAATCTCCAGTGCTTACAAGCAAAAATGAGATGTAGTACTGGATACCCTGTTCTTGTTCAGTGTGGCTTTTCTCATTCTTTCCTGGTAGGACTTCATAAAGGGTTTTAGCCTCCTCTAGTAAAAGGGATTAATCTGGGCAAGAGTCCAACAGTGTGGACAGACACAGTGGAGACAGCCCCGTTTCTGAACAGGAGCTGGGTAGGAAGGGGGAGAAGGACACGAAGGAAAGGTGTGTCTGTTTGCTGCTGCTGTACTTACAACAATCAAGCAAGTGAAAAAAAAAATCATATTGCAAACCATCGTGCTTTGAGAGAGGCTGGGGCAAGTGTGGACTGCTGGGGTGGGACCTGCTGGTTGGAAGGGCCTGACAGTGTGATTCCCTGCAACAAATGTTCTCAGAGGGTGTGTGTGCGCACCAGACACACGCAGCGCCCAGCCTCCGATTTCAGCCCTGGCAGAAGATAACAATTCTCAGCTCGCCTTTCCAGGGTTATTTTTGGCGAGGGCTTGTTCTCTGATGGCAAAAGGTTTCAGCCGCCTCCCAACTCCCTCCCTGTCCTTGTTCAAAAGAGAAACTTGCATGCTTGAACTGTTCCCCCGCAGAGACCGGGAGAGGGCTGCCGCGGGAGGGGAGAGGGCTGGGGTGCTGAAGAGGACCCCAGAGTACGCTCCAGCTCTCCCGAGGCGGGCTGAGGAGAGGCGATCGATCGCTGGAACTGCCGCAGGGGACAAGGTTGCTGGCGTCACAGGCGGGCTTTTGGGACACCCTGAAAGTGACTCCAGCTGGCGGAAGAAACCTAAGGCCACCTCGGGCGATCCGCTTGCGAAGAAGCTGGGCAGGAGAAAACTTTATAGAAAGATAGGGGCTAAACTTGGTGGGGACAGCAAGGGACACAGTGAGGGACGCGCAGGGAGGAGGAGTGGTTGGAGCCGTGGGAGGGCGCAGGGCGCTGGCTGGCTGGGGAGGGGGCCGGGCGCAGGGCGGAGTCCCAGCGCACCGCCAGGCCAGTGAGGGGCTCCGCGGGCTGCTCAGTGCTTCCCGGCTCCCGGAGCCGCGCCAGAACCTGCCAGGAGGCGCCATGGAGGGGAGCCCCATCCCGGTGCTGACCGTGCCTACCGCGCCCTACGAGGACCAGCGGCCGACCGGCGGCGGGGGGCTGCGGCGACCCACCGGTCTCTTCGAAGGCCAGCGCAACTATTTGCCCAACTTCATCCAGAGTGTGCTATCGTCCATCGATCTGCGCGACCGCCAGGGCTGCACCATGGTGGTGGGCAGCGATGGCAGGTACTTCAGCAGGGCAGCCACAGAGATCGTGGTGCAGATGGCCGCAGCCAACGGGGTGAGTGACCCGCGCGCCCACATCCCCATTGCCACTTGCTGACCCATTGGTGAGACACCACCCCACCCTGGCTCAGCCATTCTCCCTCCAGGCTCCAGGCTTCCGTCAGCAGAAAAGCCCTGAGGGGGCCCTGCCCTTCTCTGAGCCCTGCGGGGCGACTGGAACCTGCGACAGCAGCCTGAACTCTTGCCCAGCTCTGTCCATGTCCCGCACCTGCTCATTTTCTTTTTGGCATTCTCTTCCCCATCCCTTTTGGTCCCACCACAGCTTTTAGACATTGTCCAACCGTGTTCATGGCCCACCCCTCCCCAAAAGACCTCTTTCCTGGGATCCCAACAAAGCTTTGTTTTTTCTTTGTGTGCTTTTTGCGATCTTCCTGTCCTCCCCATCTTGGCTCTGGCAGACCTAACAGTGGCGTTGTCTCAGAACACACACACACACAAACACCAGTGTGGATCCCTGACCTTTGGCAGGAGTGAACCCTGAAGGATTTTAATATCATTGATTGGTTATCACCTTAGCATTGTTCATTGATGAGTTTGGTTAGTGTAAGAATGAGCAGAATCATTCGCTTGATGCTGTACAGCCTGGGCTCTAAGTTTGAGTTCCCAGGAAGCAGAGGTATCTCTAAGTGGTCTGAAATGAGATTCCCAGTGGCTTTGTTAAAGCGATCCCCAACTTTGCTCCAAGATGCCTTTTGGCATTTGACCGCATTTCATGCCTCTTCACCCTGTCTTCATCCCTGTTTCCTCTCCCTTCTCTCATGACCTCGGCAGTGTGTTTGAGTCTGACTCCTTAGACCTGGGGTTGTCTCCTGCTCCCTTTCTTCCTTACCTATACCTGGAAGCACCTTTTGGTCCACGTCCATACTCTCATCTCCCTCTCCCGAAATCTGGCAGCATTTCAAGGACTGCAAGAGGGACAGCCACAGAAGGGCAACCTAACTTCCAGAGTTTGTGGGTTGTCTGTAGGGAGCATTGCCTTAGAAAGTTAAGTCCAGCCTTGCTATTGCAGCCAAACACCAGACTTCTTTAAGGGAAGTCTCTTTTGCAGACGTGTAAATGAGTGTGGCTAGCTCTAAAAGTGAAACCAATCACCTGGCTTCTGGGTTCTCCCCCTCCTCCTGTTTATTTTCTTATTTCTTCTTCTTTTGGGATTGTCCATGTTTGTGTTTGTCTATTGTCTTCTCCCTTCTCAGTGTTTCAGTCCTGGGGAACAAGGTGTTTGTTTTTAAATAGCCAGAAGCCATTGGGAGACCTGAGGGCATTGGTGTGGGGGTTGGGGATGCTTTTCAGCTTCAGTGAGTAAAGATGCCAGAGATACAGGACTTCGGTTTCTCTCTGGCTCCTCCCTTGGGATCAATGAAAGTTGGCTGAAATCAGGGAGTTGCATAGAGGTTGACAAACGATCTTTCACTCTCTCCCGACAAAGCTATTCCTGTGGAATGATGGTTGATAATGAGGCTTGGGAGAGCTGTGATAGCTTTTTGTACTCTTTTGTGGGCCAGCTTTTCCAGAACATGAGGGAAACACAGCCTGTCCAGTATTTATTCTGGGTTGGTATATTTTTGAAGCTGCAGTTGTTGCTTTGCATCAGTAAATCATTATGATTCCTTATTATTTTTGGTCCATTTGACCATAAGGACTCTTTAATCTCTTACTTGATGCATTTTCTCTAATACACACATTTTATTAACTTTGTAGTTTATTCTAGGAGATACTTTTAGCTTATGTGAATATATGTTTAAAATAGAGTTAACTTTAATCTAGCAGTTGTTATATAAAATAGGCGATTAAAATCTACCTAGAAGCACCAACTCTGCAATAATCTGAAAGTAACATTTCTGTGAGGGGTAGGCATGATGCAAGGGAATGGGAGACAGTTTCCAGAATTCCAGATGGCCAGCTTTAAAGTTGTTTCCCACTTCTGTTCACTTTCTTTTTATTTTATTATTATTATTATTATTATTATTATTATTTTTGGACAGGCAGAGTGGACAGTGAGAGAGAGAGAGACAGAGAGAAAGGTCTTCCTTTGCCGTTGGTTCACCCTCCAATGGCCGCCGCGGCTGGTGCACCGCGGCTGATCTGAAGCCAGGAGCCAGGTACTTATCCTGGTCTCCCATGGGGTGCAGAGCCCAAGTACTTGGGCCATCCTCCACTGCACTCCCGGGCCACAGCAGAGAGCTGTCCTGGAAGAGGGGCAACCTGGACAGAATCCGGCGCCCCGACCGGGGACTAGAACCCTGTGTGCCGGCGCCGCAAGGTGGAAGATTAGCCTAGTGAGCTGTGGCGCCGGCCTCTGTTCACTTTCTGATGAAACTGTGCTAAAACAATGCAAACAGTTAGAATAGTGAGGAGTCAGAAGAGTGGGCTAGGAGGACTCTGTGGTGATAAGCATCATCCATCTTGAATGACTGAAAGTGGTAGGATGCACTTGTCACCTGATTGGTCATACTTTCTTAGGTTTAGGAATGATGAAGTTTGATTCCAAAAGCTTTGACCTTTTTGGATTCTGTTGATATTTGTAAACATCTCTGAAAAGTAGAAAACTTGAATTTATTCTTTTTGATATAACAAATCTGACTGGTAGGCTGTATTCGCTCAAAAAAAATCTTGGTTTTTATCGGAAAAGTTAAATTGACAGGTTTTCTATGAAAAACTGAAATTGACTTTTGATTATATAATTGCCAAAAGAGACCAGAAGAATGAAAATTTTAAGATAATAAACTATGTAATTTATGTTTTGATGTCTCACAAATTTTGAAATGGATGCATTTCAAACATATACCTCTATAACTTGGCATTTTACAAATGTTATTATGAAATTTTCAAACTTTCAGAAAACGGAGAAATTTAGTTAATGGCACCATAGGCCCAAAACCTGGATTGTAAGCATTTTGCTCTATTTATGTTATCATTTTTTTGGCTAAAGTATTTTAAAGTATGTTAAATAAAATTATTTTTTTGCCTATAAATGCTTCAATGCGGATCTCTAGAAAAATAAAAGTATTTTTCTGTATATAGTGCAGTGCCATCATCCCAAACAAAACAATGGTTTCTTTATTTCACTTATTACCCACTCTGCATTCAGATTGCCTTAATTATTCTGAAATATCTTTTACAGCTGCTTTGTCTAAACTAGTTTCTTCTGATCAAGGGACACACATTGCATTTGGTTATTTATCTTGTTTCTTTTAATCTAGAATATACCGCCTCGATTAATTAATGAGTGTGGATTGTTGAAGAACCAGGTCAGTTGTACTGTAGAGTATTTCCCTTTCTGGAATTTTCTGATTGCTTTTGTGGGGTCATCTAACTTTTCACTCTGTCCCCTTTTGTTCTTGTTAACAGGAAATTAATTCTAAAGCTTAGCCTGTTAAGCCTGCTAGAACAAAGTACTGTGAATTCAGTGGCTTATAAACAAGAGACATTTCTTTTTCCCAGTTCTAGCAGCTGGAAGTCCAGGATCAGTACACTGATGGTTTCAGTTTCTGGTGAGGACCAACTTCCTGCTTCATAGAATGGTACCTTTCTGCTGTGTGTCTTTGTGTAGTGGAGGGACAGACTAGTTTAGTCCTTAAACAACTTAGTTTAGTTCTTTATAATGAAAATAGTCAAATTATGAGGACTTAATTATGGCTTAATCACCCCTAAAGTCTCTACTTCTAGCACCGTCTTTACTGTGGGAGTTTAGGATTTCAATGTACAAATTTGGGGATGGAGGGCACAAACATTCTATCCCACTGTAAGGTTTAATTAGATGCAGGGTCAATTTTTTAAAAAATAGGAATATTTCATAGGTGATGATTGTATTCATGTTACATCTTAATTAAGAAACATAGTCTCCAGTTGTCTCACTGTTAGTGATGCAAGATGACTGTATCCTACATTATTCCCACTCACCCTCTTGGGTCCAGCTATAGCCCTTGGGGTGGACTTTGTACTGTATCCATATTTAGTTCCTGACAGCTTCTCCAAATTGTTGTAGCATTCATTAATGATCTTTGCCTGAGCTGATTATTTCATTAGGGGTTTCAAAATGATGATTTTTCTAGTTGTCTAATCCCTTCTACTTGTTTTAGCTGGCATATCTTATAAACTGGACATCTTCCTCAAAACTGAACAACTTGGTTATCCTGAAACATATAGTTCCTTCTGAAAAGGCACAATGTTTGTTTATTTCCTTCTCTTTTAAGTTATCAGTTTTTACAGTAAGGATTTGATAAAACTTCTACCTCCACAAATACTTTTTGTTTCACTTTTTGAATATTCACTATGGATGATTGGATTTTTACATATTAAGTTTAGTAGATTAGTGAATAAATGAATAGATAACTTTTTAACTTGTTTTTGTAGTTTTTATGTTGCTATGTGAACTTATCTAAAAAGTGCTCAGAAGTATTTTAGTTCTCTTTTAAAGATGCAAGCTATGTCATAGTTTGTAGAACAAAAGAAAAATAACTGCTGTGTAAAGGAGTAATTGTTATCATTTAAATTAGTTGTGATTAAGCTTAGTTTGTAATCAGTTTTTAAAAATCCTGTTTCTATTTCCATCTGTTTCAGATCCTCTGCAGTGGTTTAAGTGCTTTATGGATCAATTTATTCTAATTTTTTCAATAGTTTAAGAGGAAGTACAACATAATGGTTACAGTCTTAGCTCTTTTCTGAATGAATCTACTTGTTGCTAAGAGCATTCTCTGAATTAGCTTTTTATTACCACAACAAAATGACTATAGTGAGCTATGTATGTAGGAAGGAGATTTGTTCCACTCCACAGTTTTGGAGAGTCATCTTCTGAGATCTGGCAGCCTCATTGGTCTGGCTTCTGCTGGTGGCTTTCTTGCTGGCAGAGTCCTGAGGTAGCACAGAGCATCACGTAGCATGAAGGAACAAAACTTTATGTCTGAAGGGGCTCTTACAAAGCCACGGGTATTCAATCTCAGGGGTTCCACCCCAAAGGCCTAATGGAACCCAGTCACCTCCTTGAGGCCTCACATT